GTATTGGGGTTAGGATTGAGATAATTTTAGCTTCCCTCTCTGTATTTAGCCCTATTCAAGTGCATATTTTAATCAAAACATTGTAAATAAATATATGTCATTAACAAAAGCAGCTGTTTTTTCATATTTATCCATAAGGGTAAAGCTGGAGGATACTAATACACTGATGAAGCAATAAATGCAATGATTGTGACAAAACCAGTCCTCTAGTGTATAGTAGAGCTTTTGAGCAGTTCATATGTAGTGAGTATGAAAGTGTAGCACCACCAGTATTTGGTCTTTTTCATAGATGATCATTTTGGGACAGTATGGTAGAAGAGATTGTCAGCACCACTAAGTATCAGGGCTTGTCTGGGTAAAGCAGAAACCCAGAGAAGATGCTGTCGTCCTCGCTGCTTGCGTACACCCCATTCCAGTCTCTGAATGTCTCCATCCATACCTGATCCCCCAACGCCAGCCGCAGCACCACCAGAGTGGAAGCCTGGTCAATGTCCTGACCATACAGAGAGTCTCTTGTCCTTACCCGTCGTGTCCCGTTCACTACGAGCGTGGCTCGCAGTGGCTGATTGCGTACAGTGATGTGGAAGGAGAAGACATAAACCCCAGGGATGATACATGTGAAGCTGTTGGAAGAGACATTAAAGTGATTTTCTTCATTGTAGAAGATTTTGTCAAAGCGGATCGGGAAGCCAGAGGGTGGGAAGGACTTTTTTGGAGAGATGCCGACACTGAAGGCTGAGCGTTTCTGGGGAACCCCTGATCCTTTAGCCCCTTTCAATCCACGGATGCCTCGGTCACCTCTCATCCCAGGGTAACCTCTGTCCCCCTTTGGCCCAGGCATCCCTCGTATGCCTTGTGGTCCTTGGGACCCTCTTACCCCTGCTTCTCCTGGAGGTCCAGGAGGTCCCTGATCCCCTCGGACACCTGCAGGACCTGAGGATCCATGTTTGCCATTAATTCCTGGAATGCCCATCACTCCTGGGATGCCAGATTGTCCAGGATCACCTCGCTCTCCTTTCTGTCCTCTCTCTCCAAAAGTGCCACACTCCCCCTTATCTCCTTTATCTCCCTTAGGACCTAGCTCAACAGCCACTCCTGGAGGTCCAGCTGGTCCCTCTTTTCCCGGTTCTCCCTTCTCACCAGCACTCCCATTCTGGCCAGGTTCCCCTTTCTCTCCACTATTACCTTTGACACCTTGCAGTCCTATTTCACCTTTCTCACCTTTCGAGCCAATATCCCCTGCAAGATAATGGAAACTGTCAGAACTCTAGTAACATACAAAAATAAAACTACCGCCTCAACACATTTGTACCTTTCTGTGCTGGTTTTCCTGGGATACCTGCTGGCCCAGCAGTCCCACTGTTTCCTCTGTCACCTTTATCCCCTAAGAAATTGACATAGAAGGCTAATGTTTAATTAATGATATCCAACAGATTCACAACAGGACAATCATATAATTGAAGGCTACAGGTGAAGAAGAACTAAATATTGAATGGGGGACCCTTTCGTCCGAGCCTTTGTTTGAGGCGAATATATGTTTTTAAAGTCACAAGACTCAATCAAACTTTTTTTATTTATTTGTATTCTTCCAGTCATAAAAACTCCAAGCTGAAATACAGTGTTTCACTTCCTTCTGTAGATGTAGGTTTCGAGTCTGTTTCCAACCACACCCAGCGTTGTGGTCAGAAGTCGGACAAATTTCACTTCAGTTCTTGCCACTGATGATTATATTTAACCATATTATATTTACCCTTGCTTCCTTTAAATCCTGCAGGACCGTTCACACCTGGTGGTCCTTGTAAACCAGCTGCCCCTGCAGGGCCTCGTTCACCAGGTGGTCCTACATGAGCAAACATAAGAGAATTTAATTCTAGAAGCAAAAATACATTTTCTATCTTGCCATTACCTTTGAGTGTTATACCTGCCAGGCCTCTGTCTCCCTTTGGGCCCCTGGGGCCCCGTTCCGGAGGACAGCACTCGCAGAAGTTAAAGTAACACTCATTGTAATCCAGAGTGTAGTTCTCAAGGCCAACACCAGAGGGCTCAGGGCTCTCAGTGTGGTACTGAGGAAAGACATGACTTGGATAGGTGGTCCTCTCCTTGGTTGGCAGGGGGAGGGGCACCACAGGATTTGCACTGGCCACTATCTTGAGAGTCTTGGGTATGCTGGTGGTCACAGGGCCATGCAATGTGATATGAGGGACAGGCTTCTTGGTGTACTGATACTTTGGCTTCTGTGTCGTCTTCGCCTCAGCGCAGGACGCCACAGTGAGTGCAACCACAACGACAGCCACTAGGGTCCACTGACACGAGATAGTCCTCATGGTCGACTGGGATCTGAGAACAGAGTTTATACAACACACTTTTTCTCTGAACTTCTGCACCACTTTCCTTTTTCCATCTACTTTTCAATGAAAAACAAGACGTTACAAAAAATACTGATCAGTTCACAGTTGTCAATCATATCACAAAATATGGATGAGTGATTTAGTTCTCATTAGTTCAATCTTAAATTTCCATGTGCACTGTTAATTACAGGTTAATTACTTGTGTTAGTTTCCACCTAAATATAGATTCTCCCAGTGATCCAGAGACCAAGCTTGCAGGTTTTCCGTCTCAATATCCTATGATTTAAGTTCAGTAAACCAACAACTACATTAGTTGAGTTATTTGTTGCGTTAATATCCAACTTTCGTCAAAGGCTCAAAGTTCAGTTTTCTGAGAACATATATGCAGCAGAGTTGAGAAGACTCACCCAATTATGCATAAGTAGTATGATCATTTATCCTCTCTAGCGGCGTCTTGGAGGCAGCACCAGGAGCTCCAGGTCTCTCTGATATCTATGCCAGGCTTGGGCGAAATAATATCCCCACCAATGAGGGTGTTTTCTGGAAGAAAAAGGGGGAGGTCTGAAATCCAACGACGGCGAGCTGGTGCTGACCCGAGGAGAACCACTGTGCTGTGGCCCATCCTCTGTAGCCCTGTTGTGTAGAAAGGTGCTTTTGTGACACGGGATACAGCGGCAGCCGGGGGCACTCCATCGCTGCAAGCTAGGTGAGGAGCAAAGGCCGCGGGGCAATGGGTCATCCGATATGTGAGGCATTCCTCCAACATCCAACCTTCTACCCAGGCTCTTACGGTGGGACAAAGCCAAGCAAAGAGGGTTCTGTGACAGAGGCCAGTGCACCACAATGGCCTTTTTTAAGTTTTGGTTTGTGCAGCTTTCCACAGACGGGAAGGTGCAAACCATTTTAATCTTAGAGCTTTTATTGTATCATCCCATGCAGAGTCTTGCAAGTTGCCCCTTGATGAAAATATCTGCAACAGCTAATTTAAAATGACTTAGTATGAGATCCTTAAACTGGCACATAGCACAGGGGGGCTTAGTATTTACAATCGATGGTACTTGGTGAACATCCAGAAGAAGGGTTTAGTCTGAAGAGAACTGATAATCTCCTCACTCAACAGTTACTAAACCTGAGCTGTTTGTTGGGAACCAGCCTATCTCCCTTAAATCAGTGCTGTTGCAATGCTCACCTCCTCACAGTGACTGACTTTCATGCACATGAGGCCCAGATACCTCTGGCAGCTAATATACGCTAACTGTGATTCACACTGTGTAGCTGCACAATGATTCATTCTTGCAGTGTAACAGGATAGCATTGAGTTTTAGTAGAAAAAAGAGATTTTCTGCTAGTTGTCTACAGGAAACCCTCAACATGGAAGTGCAAGTGCATGTTTGAGCAGTGGACATGCCTGAGTTGTCCAAGACCTCACATCCTCAGAGAGATCCATGACCAGGTGTGAGGGAGCAGGAGGAAGGGGAAATGTATTCGGGAAACAGAGATGGGTGATGATGGCAAAGCTGTTAAATAAGAGAAATTTGAAATTTTAATCTGCTCACGTACACTTTTCTTTATCTCTTCACCTCTGCTT